CCTGCTCGATGGTTCTCCTTTCTTCCCCTTGCCCAAAGAAAACAGGAATCTCAGCTAAGAGCTTTCCCCCCTCTAAAACCGGAACCCATGCATAATGGCAGGAAGGGAGTGTATATACTTATTCTTTTTTGGAGGGAAATGAAGATCTTGACAGGAATAACAACTCCTAGTGAGCAGCAAAAAAAACCCCTGGTTTTATTTAAATGTTCAGAATTGACTTCCTGTAAACAAGCTTCCTATTTATTTATTTACAACATTTATATTGTGCTTTTCTGCCTAAACGGGGCTACCAAGGTGGCTAAAATCTGATTGGAAGTCAGATCTGGGAATCCTAAAGTTGTGAAGGGATGTGAAATGGTATGGTACAGCATAGTTTCATCTACTCTGACAGACCGGCAGCAGCTCTCCGGCTGTCCAGGGTCTCAGGTGAAGGTGTTTCCCATCAACTCCTACTAGATCCTTTCTGCTGGTTATACTAGGGATTGAAACTGGGACTTCCTGCATGCCAAGCGGATGCTGTGCCACTGAACCATAGCCCCTTCCTACTCTACGAAGTTGACATCTACTAATTTGATGTAGTGGTTAAGTGGTCATTTATAAATGACCTGGAGGAAGACATAGAGGGGATGCTTATCAAATTTGCAGATGACACAAAGTTAGTGGAATCGCTAATTCTGAAGAAGACAGAGTTAGGATTCAAATGATCTAGATAGGCTGAGACAAATAAAATGAATTTCAATAGAGAGAAGTGCAAAGCTTAGGTACAAAAAATCAAAGGCACAGCTATAGAATGGGAGGGACTTGGCTTGACAGCAGCACATGTGAAAGGGATCTAGGGTCCCGGTCACATGAGCGGGATACTGCGCCGCTGAAGGGAGGCAAATTAGAGCCGGAGCAAAAAGAACCGCAGTAGCGTGATCCGACACAACCCGTGGCTCCGTGCTCCAGCCTTTGGCAGGCGATCAGACATAGTGTGGCAACATGGATGTTGCACGTTTGTGTGCATGCGTGGGACAGGGAACGGCGCTGGCTGCGACAGGCTACCAGCGCTTCCTCGATCAGATGCCTGGAGTTGCCGCGCGTCATCTGGAAGGTAGTGCTCTGTTGCCAGTACCTTTTCAATGCATGTTTTTGGGCCGAAGGGACGGATCGGGGACGGGTGCGTGACGCTTCCCAGATGTTGCGGTATGATCGCGCCCGTTTGATGTGCCCTCGACCTGTCCGTTTTGCAGGTCAAATCCTCCCGTGTGACTGGGGTCCAGGTGCTCTGATTGATCACAAGCTAAACATGAGCCTGCAGTGCGATGTGGCTGTGAAGAAAGCTAATGCAATCTTAGGATACATAACAGAAGCATAGTGTCCAGATCACGGGAGGTGGTAGTTCCACTCTATTCTGCTATGGTCAGGCCTCACCTGGAGTACGTCCAGTTTTGGGCACCACATTTTAGGAAGGATGTTAACAAGCTCGAGTGTGTCCACTCGAGGGCAACCAGGATGGTGAGAGGGATGGAATCCAAGTCTTATGAGGAAAGGCTGAAGGAGTTGGGTATGTTTAGCCTGGGAAAGAGAAGGCTTAGAGGGGACATGATTGCAGTCTTCAAGTATTTGAAGGGCTGTCATGTAGAAGATGGAGCAGATCTATTCTCTCTTGCTCCGGATTGCAAGACTAGATCTAATGGGTGGAAATTACAAGGGAGTCGTTACCGGCTAAATATCAGGAGAAACTTCCTAACTGTAAGAGTGGTTGAGTAGTGGAACGGTCTGCCTCAGGAGGTGGTGGATGCTCCTTCGTTGGACGTTCTCAAGCGGAGGCTGGACGACCATCTTTCGGGTATGTTGTAGGTATATAGGGCTATCTTTCGGCTATGCTCCTGCAGAGTGCAGGGGGTTGAACTAGATGACCTGCCAACTCTAACATTTTATGATTCTATTATTCTAAGTGTGCGGACTCTAATCTGGGAGAACTGGGTTTGATTCCCCACTCCTCCACTTGCAGCTGCTGGATGACCTTGGGCAAGCCATAGTTCTGACAAGAGCTGTCCTTGAAAGGGCAGTTCTTAAAGAACTCTCTCAGCCCCGCCTACCTCACGGGGTATCTGTTGTGGGGAGGGGAAGGGAAAGGAGTTTGTAAACCGCTCTGAGACTCCAAGTGAAGGACGGGGTATAAATCTAATCTCTTCTTTTCTTCTTCTTCTCTACTAATTCAGTCCTTTGACCTGTTGTGGTCAGTCTTGTCTACTCAGATCGGCAGCAGCTTTCTGGGGTCTCAGGTGGAGATCTTTCCCATCACCCACTACCTGATCCTTTCCACTGGAGATGCTGGGGATTTAATCTGAAACCTTCTCCTTGTAAAAATGAATGTTCTACCGCTGAGCATATTAAGGGTTGGGGGAATATAAATTGAAGGGTTTAAAAGCCACGCCACTGAAGAACTTCAGGCCGTGATTTCGTTGTTGTCTGTTTTTTTACAGTGCTCAAAACCATACAAGCACAGAGGCCCTTCAGCACTAGCCTTTGGAGGCTAGATGATTCCAGTTTATGCTGGGAATAAGACCTCCTTCCTAAAGTGCCAAAAGGCACCTGTTTATTTTCTGCACGGCTGCCCCTCCGCAAGAGCAGCCGTTCTGCGCTTGCTTGCCGTGTTCCCAAAGGGGTTAAGTTGACAGAGCTCCGCTTCCTAGACAGGGCAGGAGAGAAATGAGGAAAAACGTTAATAACAGTGGAGGCTCTTTTCCTGTTGGGGGGGAAAGGAGGGGTTTGTTTTGAATGGCGTTTGGCTGCAGAGAGAGGAGGAGGAGGAGGAGGAAGAAGAAAAGAGCCTGGATTAAAGAGGTGAGAGGGGAGGAGGCGGGGGCAGCTGTAAATGGTCTCAGGAAACTGGGGGGAGGCAAAACGACTCCCTACATCTCCTCCCCCTCCCCAAGACTCCGATCCCATTCAGAAAGTTCCTACTTTCCACCTAGGGTTGCCAACCTCCAGGTAGGGCCTGAAGATCTCACAGAATGACAACTAATCTCCAGGTGACAGAGTTCAGTTCCTTCCCCTGTCTGACATAGCATTGCCAACTACGGGTTTTGGAAGTACCTGGAGATTTGTGGGTGGAGCGTGGGAAAGGGGAGGGACCTTGGTAAGGTGTAATGCCCTACAGTTCATCTTCCAAATCAGTCATTATTCCAGGAGAAGTGGAAGAGATGTTTAAAGTAACTAAATAGGCGCTTTATGTAGTCTGGAGAGCAGTTGTGACTCTGGGAGATCTTCAGCCCCCACCTGGAGGATGGCAACCCTATCTGGAGGAAATGGCTGCTTTCGTGGAGGGTAGACTCTGTGGCATTATACCCTACTGTTGTCTCTGCCATCCCCCCGACCCTGCCACCACCCTGCCCTCCCCAGGCTCCGCCCCCAAATCCCCAGGAATTCCCCAGCCTGGATTTGGCAGCCCAACCTAGCAAAAAGAGGAAGAAGAGCAGCCCTTATTGGAGAGAGCTAATATCCTTGGCAACCTCTGGGTCTCTTCTCTATATCTGGAGTGTGTAAGAGATCCAGATGTCTTTTCTATAGAATGGCTTGCTTCAGCCATCTGGACATGGAATGGCTGCTCCTGTTGCAAAAAGATAAATGAGTAATGGTTTTAAAGATGCTTACTGCTTCAAGATTATTACAGTATTTACTCAAATACAACACTAGGATTTTCCCAGGTATACCATCAAAAAAAGAGGGGATTGCCTTAAATGTGTGTACAAGTTACAGTTATGTACAATACAAAACAACTTTTTTTGTGTATACCATTTTTAGGGCAGATTGCCTTACATTCAGGGTTGTCTTCCTCTAGAGTACATCCTTTAGAGTGAAGTTATGGAACCATAAAATCTTTCCAGATAAGCAGAACTGGTTGGAAAAGATAAAAGGTATTTATAACACGTTATGGTTAACTTGCGAAGACCTCATGATGCCAATAAAAATATAAAGGGATCCACAGTGTGAAGAAGTAACTCCTCAAATGGATTTATGTAGAGTTGTTTCATAGAACTGTCATGTAGATTTATCTAGCAGAGACAAAGCTGGTGTTTTTGTAATGGAAAAGATGCAAAGGGAGGGTTTTTCCACCTTTTAACCAAAAAGTTGTTTTTTGAGAATGTGTACTACAAATTAAATGTGTTAGAATGTGAAATCACACATCTACAGAAGAGGCACAGAATACAAAGGAAATTGTCCTGTAAAATATATATATATGACAACTTCCAGACCTGAGGGTCACTGTTTTAAATTGTCTGGCTTCCCCCCCTATTTTTTTGATAAAGGGTAACCATGTTTGTTTAGAGCAAATGTTCTGTGCTGTGGAAACTCATATCTTTGTGGGATTACCCAGGGGTGAAAATGGAGGAACAAGACCCCCTAAAATGCACCTTCAGGAAGAGGTCAGAAAAATCTCACATCCTCCAGGCAGCGTATGTCAAAGATCTCCTGCAAAGGAGAACAGGAGAACACATTAAACAGGAGCCCAGTGAGGGCTCCCTTCAGCGGTGGGAAGTCCAGTGGCAGGAGTTCCTCAGGACAGTGGACTCTCCTCAGTCTCAATGGACGGTCCCACACTTGCCAGAGAAAGCTTCGCCCTGGGAGGATGCCAAGGGCTTTCTGACCTCCTTTGAGCAAGTGGCCGAAGCCTGTCGGTGGCCCCAGGAAGAGTGGGCGACCCGACTCCTACCAGCCCTCAGTGGAGAAGCCCAGCAGGCCTTTATCAGTTTGGGGGCCAGGGACAGAGAGGATTATGGGAAAGTGAAGGCAGCCATTTTGCGAAGGGACGCCATCAGCAGGGAGAAGATTCGCCAACACTTTAGGCACTTTTGCTACCAGGAGTCAGACGGGCCAAGAGGAACATACCGCCGGCTCCAGGAACTTTGCTGTCAGTGGCTAAGAGCGGAGAATCACAGCAAGGAGGAGATCCAGGAGCTCTTGATCCTAGAACAGCTGCTGAGCGTCCTGCCCCCGGAGATCCAGAGCCGTGTGAGGGAGAGCGGCCCCGAGAGCTGCTCCCAGGCGGTGGCCCTGGCCGAGGAGCTCCTCTTGAGGCAGAGAGAGGCCAAGAGACAGGAGCAGCAGGTGAGGCTAATTCATTGTGTTGTCTCTATACAGTGACAGGGCCTAATGATGTGATGTAGAGGGCCAGAGTGCTGGGTTTTGCCTGGAAAGGTCTAGATCCTCACAGTTACCCCCCTTAACACTGTGTGGGTCAGTTGTATGTGAGCCAGGATGACTCAGGATTTTTAGGGGGGGGAAATGCCCCCCTATGGAAGATCCTCATAAATTCTGTTATTTCCAAATTTAGATCTGAGCTCTCCCTCCTAGAATGGGTTTATTTATTTATTTATTTATTTAAGGCACTTTTATGCCACCTTTCTACCCAATCAGGTCCACCAGGTGGCGAACATAAAAACATACGAGCAATTAAAAATACAGTCACAGTTATAAAATAATTCCATTAGAGCACATACCTTTAGAGAACGGTAATGCCAATGGTTGAGTGGGGCCTGAAAAATGTCCCACAAGGGAAGGTTGAAGGAATTGGGTATGTTTAGCCTGAAAAAAAGAAGACCAAGGGAGGCAGGATCACACCTTTCAAATACCCAAAGAGCTGTCCTGTGGAAGAGGGTAAAGATCTGTTTTGTGCGGCTGCCCTAGAAGGGGGGGGGGGGGGGGGACTAGATTGAACAGATTTAAGCTACAGTAGAGCAGATTTCAGTTGAGCCTCAGGGGATCTTTTTAACACTAAGAGTGGTCTGACAATCAAATTAGTTACGGGGTGGGGTGGGGCCTGTCCCTTGGGGAAGGTCTTCATGCAGAGGTATGGTGTATGATGCTAGGGATGATGTCACTCAGAGCTTGACAAATCCCAGGCTCCGGGACACCATGGCGCCTAGAAACTTCACCTAGTATTTTTACCAACAGTTTTATTATACAATCTCTCAGTGAGAAGTACAAAGCTTATTTATTGTTTCACATCAGACTAGGTTTTCTTATATGGTATAAAAATACATGTGCATGAAAGTTCTTGTCATTGCTTTCTTTAATTTAATTTATTTATTTATTTGATTTTTATCCCACCCTCCCGGCCTGGGCCGGCTCAGGGCGGCTTACAAACAGAGTAAAATTCCAACAATACAGTCACATAAATCAATAAATACAATATTAAAACTCGGACATAATAAAGCGCTAGCAACAGTCCTCATTTAATGGTCAGCTCTTCGGTCTTCCTCAACTGTCTCGGGTGACTGGCTCCTCCCTTTAGTGTGGCGGATGGAGTCATTTCCTTGTTGTTGTTCAGTCGCACAGTCGAGTCCGACTCTTCGCGACCCCATGGATCATCTCCCGCCAGGCCCTCCTGTCTTCCGCCGTCCTCTGAAGTTGGCTCAACTTCATGTTTGTTGCATCTATGACACTGTCTAACCATCTCATCCTTTGCCGTCCCCGTCTTCTTTGACCTTCAATCTTTCCCAGGATCAGGGTCTTCTCCAGTGAGTGCTCCCTTCTCATTTGGAGGCCAAAGTGTTTGAGCTTCAGTTTCATTATCTGGCCTTCTTTCTATACTGGCTCAGATATTTAATGACAAGGAACTTTTCAAACAATAATGGAATTATGAGAAATCGAGGAGGGTTTAAGCTAGGCTTAGAAGTTAGCTCTTAGTTGTGGGGACGACAACCAGGGCTGTCCTTATATTTGTTTATATACTATGACATTTGCGTCATAGTTTTAGTAAAATTATGGGAAACCGTGAAGAGGTTAGGATTAGGAAACAGGGCAATTAATACACAAAACACTGAAGACTGAAAATAAGTGTCCTACATTTTGGGCCCAGCTCCTAAAGTCACAGAAAATTTGTCAAGGCCTGCTTTAGCTTTGGATTTCCTGTGGCGATTGGGGGGTTGGATCGGGATGCCAACATCCAGGTGGGACCTGGGGATCCCCTGGAATTACACCTTGTCTCCAGGCTGCAGAGAGCAGTCCCCTTGGAGCAAATGGATGCTTTGGAGGGTGGGCTGTGTGCGGCATTGTATCCTGCTGAGGTCCCTGTCCTCCCCACATCCCACCCACCCCAAATCTCCGGGAGTTTCTCAAGCTGGATCTGGCAACTCTACCTTTCCCACCCCCTGCCAGTGGCAACACGAGAGTTGGGCCAGATGGGACTTCTGCAACCCTTTCCAGGATTCATCCATAGCAATTGAGTCGCTCAGCTCGGGGGGGGGGCAGAGCCCTTCCCTCTGCCACAGATGCCCTGAGTAGGACCCTCTCTGCCATTTCAGGTGCCCTTGGAGGAGGCATCTGTGAGTGTCTCTGAGGCAGGCCAGGATCCGTCTGAGAATGGGCAGAGGCAATTCTGCGTGGAAGCCGAGCGGGAAGATGATGTGAATAGAAGCCTGCTGGGTAAGCGTGGTCCTTCTGGGAGCGGCTCAGCCGTGCCTCTGTCTTTCCCTTTCGGGAGCCTTTCTACACTTAGACTCTGTGGTCTACCTATACTGTGTATCAGAGCTTTTTTTGAAGAAAAAGCCCAGCAGGAACTCATTAGCATAACAGGCCACACCCAACAGCAGACATCCACTATCCTATTAGGCCACACCCCTGACAGCGCAGCTCATTAACTTATTAGGCCACACCCCCGTGCCTTCCCTTGGCTTGCCCGGGCACCCCGCAGCCCTTGGACAGGCCAGCTTAATTGCCTCCCCGATCCTTCCAGGCCCCCCCTGGCCCGCCCGCCTCGGAGTCACTGGGGGGGGGGGGGCGCTCTCCAGGCCTTCCCTCTGTTAGCCACGCATGCACAGGTTTTGGCTGTAGGGGGCGTGGCCAACTCTCAAGCCAGCTGGAACTCCGTTCCTGCCCAAAAATAGCCCTGCTGTGTATAGCTTGCTGAAACTAGGAGCCTGCTCGGGAATTTTTGCATGGTTTCATGTGTCGTGTTCATATTTGTGCTTTGCTTCCATTCTGGGATGGGGGTTTTTTTGTTTGTTTTTTTTTTTGAATTCTGGTTGGTTTTTGCAACCCTAATCCTATTGCATTGTTTATTGAACCTCCCATCCTGACATGTGTATTGACACTGTATCATCCGCCTTGAGTCCAAGTGAGAAAGGTGGTCCAACTCTTTTGTTACTTTTTCGGCTCTGGCTGCAACCTGATGGAACACTCTCCCTACCGAGATCCAGGCCCTGGGGGACTTGGTGCAGTTCCGCCAGGGCCTGTAAAACGGAGAGGTTCCGCCAGGCCTATGGCTGAGGCGGCAGAGATCCGCTTACACTGGCCTCCCCCTCTACTGTGTTCATCTGTTTTGCTTCCATCTGCAACGTCTTCTGTCTGCTGTTCCCCCTCAGTAATACTCACCGTCCGTCTGCAACCATACAGGGAATCTACACGGGAGCAGGTGAAGACAGAGCCGGCTGGGTCGAATGGTGCCGTGAATTGTTACTATTGATTTGAATTGCCTCCTGTGATTGGATTTTATAACTGCCATTTTCTATATTGAATTGTGTATCGATTTGCTGTTGTGTCCCACCCTGAAGGAGCTGCAGTGGCTCAAGTGGTTAAGACGCTGAACTGCAGGCTGTGGAAGGTTGGTAGTTCAGCAGTTCGAGACCCGAGTGCTGCATGACGGAGTGAGCTCCCGTCTCTAGTTCCAGCGCCTGCCAACCTAGCAGTTTGAAAGGAAGAAATTGCAAGTAGATAAATAGGGACCACTTCGGTGGGAAGGTAACAGCGTTCCGTGCGCCTCGGTGTTTAGTCATGCCGGCCACATGACCACGGAAACGTCTTCGGACAGCGCTGGCTCTTCGGCTTTGAACCGGAGATGAGGACCGCAACCCTAGAGTCGGATTCGACTGGCTTTCGAGCAAGGGAACCTTTACCTTTTACCCACCCTGAGCCGGCTTGTGGGGGGAGGGAGAGCTAAAAGCCCAGTAAAACAGAGATGTTCCACGAGGCCTATGACTGAGGCCGTGGCAACTCATCTATAATGGCCTGCCCTCCACTATCCCGTCATGACTGATTTTCTCACCCACCCATTTGCTCTGTATTGTTCCATCTACGGCTACCCACAATCCCAATCTCTTGGGATGTCAGTCATGTCGCAGACGCCACCAGATATTTTAGCAGCGTTGAGGATTCGTTAATTAATAATTTTGTAGATTTAAAAGGTTATACGATATTTTAATTATGTGGTAAGTTTTAACCATGTTGTAACCCGCCCTGAGCCTGCTTGCGGGGGAGGGCAGGCTAAAAATTGAACATACAAATAGATAAACAAATAATGTACATAAACAAATAAAGGGCCAAAATTCACCTCTAAAATGAACATAAGAATGTAAGAAGAGCCCTGCTTGATCAGACCAGTGGTCCATCTAGTCCAGCCTCCTGCCTCACACAGTGGCCAACCAGTTCCTCTGGAGGGCCAACAACAGGGCAGAGAGGCTGAGGCCTTCCCCTGAGGTTGCCTCCTGGCTCCTAGATTCAGAGGATTAGTGCCTCTGAATGGGGAGGCTCCCCTCAGTCTCCTTGGCTAGTAGCCACTGAGAGACTTACCCTCCATGAATCTTTCTAATCCCTCTTCTTGTGGCCATCACTACATCCTCTGGCAGCAAGTTCCACATTTTAATCACTCTCTGAGTAAAGAAATGGCCACTGGTTGACTTGTGGATGCCGTGACATCTTGTTTGGTCCACATGTGCTAGCTGGGCTTGCAGACGTGTCCCCTCCAGAAGCACTTTTCGCCTAACCCGAACCTTGTCCTTTCTTTCTCTTCTCTCCGTCTTCCCCAAAGAAGGAAGCTGTGTGAAAGAGACTCCGGGGCAAAGCTTCCCTCAGGAAGGCCTTGAGTCGCAGGAGGAAGCCCTCGAAAGCTCGGCCGGAGGCCCACAAGGAAATATTTCTTTCCTGACTGAATTTGCTGAGGGTGAGTAAACAAAGCCTGCTCCGACACAGGGGCAGGAAAAAGGCCGTGGAAGTTGAAGCGAGGTTGTGGAGGAGGGGCTGCCAAGCTCCAGGTGGGGCCTGTTGACCTCCCAGTTACAACCTCTCCAGCCCTGTCCCACCCACCCCCTTCTAGTCTGCCTCATAAGTGTCAAACCAGTGTTATACCAATGCTGAGTATAACGGCGTCACAGCAACACGAAACTGATTTAAATCTGAAGATGCAGATTCGGCCAATGTCAAAGCATGGAGATGACTATGCTTGTGTGCCCCACTTCCTGTGATGGGCGCCCCCCCCTTGCCCGTCCCAGTGGAGCCACAGTACACAAACCCTGGGTGGGGGCAGATTTTAACTCTGTCCCCCTCCCTGGATTGGCTGCAGCCACTCCCAGTTTCCTCTCTGAGTCAGAGGAAAAAAAGAGGGTGTATTTAGAAGAGAGGCACACATTATGAACGTTAGAAGCTGCCTTATAGTGAATCAGACTCTTGGCCCATTAGGGGTCAGTATTGCCTATTCAGACTGGCAGTGGCTCTCCAGGGCCTCAGGCTGAGGTCTTTCACATCACCTCCTACCCGATTCTTTTAACTGGGAGTGCCAGGGATTGAACCTGGGACCTCCTGGATGTCAAGCAGGTGCTCCACCACTGAGCCACACCTCCTCTCCTCCCACATTACTCTTTGAAAGCACAGTGTTGTTTGGAAGCTCCCTCCACCCAGATTTTGCGAGTAGCATAGAAACAGAACCCAATGGAGTATCAGTCAATGGCCTGCTGGGAAAGCCATGTCTTACCTGTAACAAGAATAGAAAAGATAGTTGAGTAGATCAGTCTCTCTGGATGGAGGTCTTTAAGCAGAGACTGTCAGAGATGCTCCCGGTTTGAATTCCCTCCAGGGGGTTGGACTGGATAACCTGCAAGCTCCCTGATCTGCTCTTTGAGTTCAGCATCCCCCCAAAAGAGGAGTTTCTCACAGCATGTTCACAGGGAGAGGTAAGGAAGTCCAGGACTTCTGAAAGGGCCGATAGGGGTGCACAGCTGCCCTGCCCAGGATATGCTCAGCACTTTATGAAACGTCCAGTTTGTAGGATGCAACCTGAAGTCTCCTGGGTATTTTTTTCCTGTTCCAGTCAAGATGCTTCGGGTTTTTATCCCCGGGGCTGAAGAAGCAACCTGGAGCCATGTGGGAATCATTGTCTTAGACCAACACCCTTCTAACCACTGTAGTACACTGGTGGTAGAAAGTACCGTCAAGTTGCAGCCAACTTATGGGATCCTGTATATTTTCAAGGCAAGAGACATTCAGAGGTGGTTTTCCATTGCTTGCCTTTATGGGACACCCCAGATGGTCTTCCATCCAAATATTAACCAGGGTTGACCTTGCTTAGCTTCCAATATCTAACTAGTCAGGGCTACAGTCTCATTTTGGGGATTGGAGACACTGTTGGAAGATTGGTCCCTCAGTGGCTGCTAGCCATGGTGACTAAGGGGAACCTCCACATATAGAAGCAGAATACCTCTGAAGACCAGGAGGCAACATTGGGCAAATGCCTAGAAGGGATTACCTTTTAATAATGTTCGCTGATAGGAACAGGGAAAATTACTTTTAAAGTGCCCAAATATGGCTGGGTGGTCATCAATAGGAGGAAAATTTGGTTAGATGCGGCTAGCCATAGATAAGTATTGATACAATCCAATAATGTTTGGTTACTTGGAATTTATGTATACTATATTCAGTATATTAAAGTGGGATACAATTTTACTGAATGTTTGGATGTATTTTAATGTATGATTCAGTGGTGGTTGATTGAATAACAATGGCCCCGGTCACACGGGCAGGAAACTGCGGAGGAGAAGTGTGGCTGTTTGCCCCGGGGCAAACTAACATGCAGTAAAGCGATCAGACCTACTGTGGAGGTTCTGTGGAGGTACTGTGGAGCTTCCGTGGGTAGGGAGAGGTGCCGATCACAACACACGCCTGCACGCAATGAAGAAGCGTGCGGCGCGACGAACTGGTTTCCTTGTTTTGTGTACACTACGAATGCGCATGCTCCGTTGGATGCGTGTGCGCATCCACGGAGACTTGGGGGGAAAAAACCCCTTTTCCGCAAGGGGACATGGGCGGGTGCCGGATGCCACCGGAAACGCGATCAGACGCCCGCCCTTGCCCCGCAGTTTCCGGAAACTAGTACCTCCGAGGTACTAGTTTTTTGCTGCGCTTTTTTGGCAGGAAGCCTCAGTTGTGCCACGGAAGCGCTACGCTTCCCAGATGTGCTGGTGAGATCGCGACCGGAAACTCCGCTTGTCTTCCGTATCTCTTGCGTGGCTAATGTTGCGTGTGACCGCAGCCTATAATATTTTTAGGATTTATCTTGTAAATTTTAAATGTAGGTAATTGCCATGCAATATACTTGGACCTCAGATGGTTTAATGTTTTAATCAGGGGTCATTTCGTAGAAAAAGAGCTAGGGGAACTCATTACCATAACTCATTAGCATATGCCACACCCCCTGCCGTCACCGGAAGTGTGTCATAAGGCCACACCCACTGCCATCACTGGAAGTGTGTCATGCGGGAGTGCAAGGAAGCCCTGCAAGGGAGTGCAAGGAAGCCCCCCGGCCCCCAACGGTCCCAGCCACCGCCGCCGCCCTTGAGGCTCCACTGCCGAGCCCCATGAGGGGCCCGGCGGTGGACCTGCAAGGCTAGCGGGAGTGCGAGGAAGCCCCGCCTCTCCCCACCCCTGGCCCCAGGCAGGCAGGCAGGGGTGGGGAGAGGCGGGGAGGAAGCAACTTACTCTCCCTCTTCTCCTACCTCCTCCTGGCTGAATGAGGGCCGGAAGCGGGGCGGCCGGAAGCAGGGGGCGGGGCTTCGTCGTGTGCCCCGCCCCCCGCACCTCACCCGGGGGAACTGCGATCCCCCCCGAATCGACCTCTGGTTTTAATGTTTCTTTTCGTACTGTTGGTCCATCTGTTTGATGGTTGATCTCCTTTAGTTCTGATTTGTTGCTGAGAATGTGACGGCCTTTGGCTAATAAACTCTATTTGACTTGGCCTCTATGCCCTGTCATTGAACCTCCAGAGGAAGTGGTTGGCCACTATATGAGACAGGATGCTGGTCCAGCAGGGCTCCTCTGACGTTCTTATTTCCTTTGCAGCCAAAGCCTGGATGTCCAGAAGTGAGGGGGAGACATACATTCCCCACAATTCAGAACTGGTGGGACCGTGTGGGACACTAATGTGGACAGTGAAGCAGGATGCATCTCAGGAAATCAGCTTGGTAGAGGAAGCAGAGGAAGGTCACGAGACCACTATGGACACCCCAGCCCAGCCCAGAATTGATGCTAGTAAGAACCAAAACATCTCTGGTGCTTTTGGGAAAAGCTTCAGCCAGAACCCCGGCTTTGTGAAAATCACTCATCTGGGAAGAAAGGTGCATAAATGCCTAGTCTGTGGGAAATGCTTTTTGTCCAGCTCAAACCTTATTGTCCACCACAGAACCCACACAGGAGTGAAACCCTATAAGTGTCTGGAGTGTGGAAAGAGCTTCAACCGGAGCACCAATCTTACCACGCATCAGAGAATCCACACAGGGGAGAAACCATACACGTGCTTGGAGTGCGGAAAGAGTTTCAGTCGGAGCCACCATCTGGCCTCACATCAGAGAATCCACACAGGGGAGAGACCTTATAAATGCTTGGACTGCAGCAAGACATTCTGTGACCAGTCGAGCTTTATTAAGCACAAGAGAACCCACACTGGGGAGAAACCCTATAAATGCCTGAAGTGTGGAAAGAGCTTCGGACAGAATACAACCCTCGTTAAGCATCAGAGAATCCACACTGGGGCAGAATCTCCCATATGAACATTTCTCCTACTGGTAGTTAGGTTTCTGAGGCTCAGGAGTTAGTAAAGAAGCAGGGTCTTTTTGGTACTTGCCCCATCCATGTGGGACTCTCCACCTATGGTTCTGTGGTCATTAGGGGGCTCTAGTTTGGATGGTTTGAATAACACTATGTATTATATTGCTTTTACCCACTTTCAGGGTTCTGGTTTGAAAGACAGTGTCATGTGGAAAACAAGTAATAAAATTTCACATGGGCTGAACCGTGCAAAAAGTGTTCCAACATCCACATCCACATGGAATATCTTTTTTTAAAAAACAACAACGGATCAGTGAAGGTTTTTCCACTGAGAAAGGACCTAGCAATTGTTTCATAACAAAAAAATCAAGTATGACCAGACTTGATCATCTTGGGTACCCTCTTAATGGTCACCCTTTCATCTGTGTGTTAGAAATCATTTAAATCAAAGACATAGCACTTTTCATGTGTGATCCTATACAATTTAGAAATCAAGAATATTTTTAGCATAGAGACTCCCATTGTGCTAAAACATATGAAATGCCATAATGACAGGAGATAAAACATTTACCACAAGAAGTAAGTGCACAGATTGAAGTACTGAAGTATATAATGTTGAACTTGAATACTTAATAGCAATATTTATGTAAATAAAAATAACAACCAGTAACAGATAAGTAAACCAACCCAGAGCCAACTCATGGGCTCTGTAGTCCTTTCCCTTCCAGGACTGAGACATGAGTTAAACAGTTAAAATTAGGTAGTAATAGCTAATAGTAATAGCTTCTGCCCCCTTTTTGTTTCCTTCCCTCAAAAATGATTTTAATAAACAGAAACTTGAAGCTAATTACAAAGTGATTAGTGATAAAGTAACTATAAGGTCCCTGCCACACGAGGGGGAAAAAGGACAGGCTATGTGTGGCTTTTAAAAGCCGCACCAAAATAGGCACGCGGCGGCAGGATCATACAGATCCCGTGCGCCGCGTGCAATTGCTCCCCGGCATGATCAGATGCCGGGGAGACCGGGGAGGAGCATGCGCAGTTCGGCCCGGACCCGGGGATGCGCTGGCGGAAGAATGTGCCGGCGATCCCACGGCCAGCTTTGATGCGGCCGTTCGGAAAGAACCACCTCGGTAGGTGGTTCTTTTTTGCTGCGGATTATCGTAGGAAGGGCCGGATCAGGGACGGGCGTGCAACGCTTCTCAGATGTTGCGGTGGGATTGCGCCCGTTTGCTCCACCCCCGATCCGTCCCTCTCCCGGCCCAAATCTGCTCGTGTGACCGGGGCCTGTACCTAGCCAGCTCTGAACTTAGTTAAAACACTCCATTTAAGTACTATAGAAAAACCACATGTGAATTCAGTATTTTGAACTTAATTTGCACCATAAACAGGTGTAGAAAGACACTATAAAATATTAAAGTTGTGATCAAACTATAGGACAAAGCAATCTTGATTCAAGTAAATCCCTTTTCAAGTGTTTCTGATCTTGCACTCCCTTCTTGCTTGAGCTGTTCGCCATCGGGTTATTGTTGTGTCGTGCTGCTGGGGTGCGGCGTCCAATGGAAGATCCGGGGGAAGCTGGAGATGCAGGTCTTGGAGGAGCTTTATGCCCGATTCTGGATCTGAAGCGTGGAGCACGGTGCCGTTGTGGAGAACGTGACGTTTATAGTATGCAATCCATTTGTAGTGGATCTTTGCATTAGTTAGTGCTGTGGTTATTGGCTCCATAGCTTTCTGCCATTGCAAAGTTTCCGCAGATAAGTCCTTGTAGAATCTGTATCCTGTTGTCATTCAGCTGCAAGAGCCGGTTGGTCTGGCCATAGTGACTATTTTGATTTCAGTACGAGAATCCATAAATCTCAAATAATGTCTCTAGGTATGTTGTTCTGGCGCGCACGCAAAGAGCCCACTCTGTAAACAAAATCTATCGGGAGCAACTCCCGCTTCTACTTCTAGGATTCCCGCCAGCCAAGACACGATGAATATTTTTAACTCTGTTGTCTTCTCTGCATCCCTCTAAATTTGAGGTTGTTAGCTTTTAATCAGTTTTACAGATAAATTAATTTATCCGTGGCCCATTTGTCTTTTTTATAAAAAATAACAAGCGTCTTTGTAATGATTCCTTGTTTTACTGTGCGTGTGTTCCTTTACATGTTTGGTTGGAGTGCAGTGTTAGTAGAGTAGAGTGATTGAGAGAGACAAGTGTGTTGTGACTGGAGGATGACTGAGAGTGGGAGGGGTTGTTTGAAGTGAAAGTGTGTGTCTTGAAGTCAGTTTGAGGGAATCTGAGTAGAGAAGTCAGTTAGAAAAATCAATTGGAATGATTCAGTCAGTGAGTCTGAGAGAGAGTGAGATGACTCAGTTCTGTGTGGAGATTTAAAGAAGTCAATATATATGTATTTACAAGTTTAAGTGTGGAAGAGATATGAGAAGGGTCTGTGAGACTCTAAAGTAGAGAATTAATACAAAGATCTTTGGCAGTGTGGCTACTCAGTGAAAGGGTGATTCCTGTCAGAGAGGGATCTTATGATCAAAAGACTGTGTGTGATACCTTGCCAGTTTATTTTACCAGTTCCTCTTCCCCATAACAGTTACAGTTAACCAGCAACTCATTTTTGTTCCTGAATCAATACATCGTATTTTGTTTAAGTTTAACGCAGAATTCAGTTCAATCCTTTCTCAGGGCCACATAGACCAATGAAAGCCCAGACCCTGGGTCACATTACCAACAGCAGCTAATGAGAGAAGATTTGGAATTTGTTTAAATTCCTGGTGGCAGCAGAAACTACCCTGTTTGTGAACACAAAGTGTAATTTAAAGTGAAAACCAGTCCTCCCCAAATAAGAGGGCGCCACAGTCTTCTTGGAGAGTCAGGCTAGATTCCACTGCTGAATCAGAAGTTTGTGCTATTTGTGCCACGGACTGTTTACATTTTAACCTTCTAACAACCCTATGAGGTAGATTAGGCTGAGAGAGTGGCTAGAGTGTCCCAGATTCTAGACTCTCTAACCACCACGCTGCACTTGCCTCAGCTTTCCCTTGCCCCGGCAGCCTCTTCTTGGGAAAAGTCTGCCGAAGCTGCAAAAAGTTGTTCAGTAGCAAGTTCCTCAGGTGAGTTGCATGGTCAGGGCCAGCTCTCTCACTAGGCCTACTAGTATCTGGCCTAGGGTGCAGATCTCCCAGGGGCGCAGCGAGGCCTCTGCCGCTGCCACCGCCTGCCTGCCTGCACCCAGCATGGCTTTCTGGGAACCCACAACGCGCCCCTTCCTTCCTGCAGCTCCGCCCTGCACAGCTCTCCCAGCTACCAGCCATTGCTGCTCCCAGCCATGTGGGGGGCGCGAAAGGGGCCGACAAAGGCGGGTTGCGCCCCTGCTGCTGCTGCGCCCCGGCTCCAAGAACCTCCAGGACGGGCCCCTCGTCGTGCTCCATGCGGCGGAGAACTGGGGGGGAGGAGGAGGAGACTGGAATGGTCCCCCGCCACGGCCTTCTCCCGCGAAGCTCGGAGCAGCTTCGAATTGCCTTTCCTCCCTCTCCCAACCACCATGGCCCCTCCCTTGGTGAGCCAATGGGTGGGCGGGGGGCGCCGCAGCTCCTTCTCTCCCCCACGGCTGCGCGCCACCCGCCCACCCCGCTCAGTACGGTGCCCGGGCAGCGCTCGAGGGCAGCGGCCTCCTCCTCGGGCTGGCTGGCCCGACGGGCTTCTCCCCACCGGGAAAGAGGCTGCCTGGAGCTCCCGCAGGACAGCGATTACCCTTAATCGCTTAAGGAGGAAGGGGAAACACCACCGGGGCGAGTCCCGGCTGGCTTCCCCGGGCCATGGAGAACAGAGACTTGTTGTGGTGGGGAAGGAGGTGGGAGGCGCCCTCCCTCACTCGTCGGGTTTCCCCAGAGCCGGGGACCAAGGGAGAGGGTTTGCTGCTGGCCGGCCCCTGGGCTAAGCAGCACGGGACTAGCCATGGTCTGGACCTGCCCCCCCACTGCAGAGTCCAGAGCCGGCCCCACGGAGCTGCCGAGACTGATGGGAGGAGATTGGACCAGCCACCGGGGCCCTCCAGGCCCACCCCCCATGTTGGAACCTGACAGAGCTTCAGCCGGCACTGCCCGAGGTGAA